TTCCTGGGTCAGTGCTGTGGCGTAGCAGGTAAAGCTGCTGCCTGCAGTGCCCGCATCCCATATGGGCACCGGTTTGAGTCTCGGCTGCTCCACTTCTGATCCAGCTCCCTGCTATGGCCTGGGAAAGCCGTGGAAGATGGCCCAGTCCTTGGGCCCCTGCACCCACACTTGGGCCTCTGCCCTGCACTTTTGGGAGACCAAGAACCTCCTGGCTTTGGATTAGCGCACCTCTGGCTGTTGCGGGCAATTGGGGAGAGAACCAGCAGATGGAAGACCTCTCTCTCTGCCTCTCCTTCTCTGTGTAACTCTTTCAAATAAATAAGTAAATCTTCAAAAAAAAAAAAAAATTGGTTCCTTTCCCACTGGGGTGGTTGGGCAGGTGGGGCTTGGATTGACCACTTATCATTCAGACAATCATATAATGCAGGAACCAGAGGCTATATGTCGTATTTCCTGAATAATCACAAAGGAAAATAACCAGTTCCCGTACAGCGCTCTAGGCCACATGCAGTGACACAATACTTTGCAAAAACTTCTAAAAGCAGATACTTCCATTGGTGTGCAGGGTGCGCCTGCCACCGGCTCAGTCCCGTTCTCGGATACCCACAGTGGTCGCAGACACCAGAGAGCGCCAGAAGCCGTGAGCACATCATTACATGGCTAAGACATGCACTCCTGGGACCCGAGGTGGCGTCCAGCATCCTCCTCCCCTCTCAGACTCAGGCAGCTGTAGACGAACCCTCAGAGAAGGAGGCTGAGCAGGGGACAGAGCGTGGTCCCACCTGCCTGTCCAGCAGTTCTGGGCAAGACGCGAGCAAAGATGTAAGACAAGAGTTTCAGTGGAAGGCCACTTGCCTCCGTCCACTCTGTGAGGCCTCAGGCCCAGTTCCAAGCTGTGCTCAGCCAGAGGGCGGGCTGGAAGGAACTTCCTCCTGGAGACAGGAAGCTGTTGCGCTTGGCACTCGCTCCTCAGCTGCCATTGGGCCCTGCCCACCTCACAGCCAGAACTGATCGACCCGGAGGCCCTGAGATGAACCCACCTGGTGCTAAGTGGCCTTTCGTGTGCACCAGAGTGGACTTAGTAAACAAAATAACGGAGCCACTCATATACCTGGGGATGAGGCATAGATTGTTCTAAATCTCAGTTGGAGTTAACAGGGACCATCTGGGGGCAGGGGAGATGAGCCAGCTGTTTCTGAGAAGCCCGAGGAGTGTATTTTTTTTTCTCTTTGCTTTGTTGAAAGGAGATGGAATGATGGTCTCAAGTATGGGATTGTTTTAGGGATGTGTTGAAGCAGCTGCCGCTGTCCCAGGGAACTGGGTCCTGCCGTGGCTTCCCTAACTGGAGAAAAAAATGGTGCCTAACGGGGAATAGCTGAGAGTTCGGCCTAACAGGAAGTATAGACCAGCCAGGTTCAGTTCCTGGGCTCAGATTCTTGGGTCCCGTAAATTCTCACAAGGATGTCTCCCCACCTGGTGCACAGAACTGGAGCACCCTGGGAACCAAGGGTGGCGTCCAGCAGCCTCCTCCCCACTCAGACTCAGGCAGCTGTAGATGAACCCTTGGGGAAGGAGGCTGAGCAGGGGACAGAGCATGGTCCTACCTGCCTGTCCAGCAGTTCTGGGCAAGACGCGAGCAAAGATGTAAGACAAGAGTTTCAGTGGAAAAGTCACCACTTTCTGGAACGCTCCACGCTCTGGTTTGCAGATGCAACATTGGGGATGGAGGTAGGTAGACCAAGAGCCCTTGACCTCACAGCTCAGCACAATGACAGTGCCAGTGCCAGGTCCTCTGAGTGCCCAGGGATACACTGATCGCAGGTGAACTAGCTGACGTGATTGACAGGCCCTTGGCTGCCCAGTGGTAGGGGGCGGGGCATCTTTCCTTCTGTGATGATGACCCACTCAGCCTCTGCCCCTCCAGCACGGGGCAGAGGGGATAAACCCTCCTGCTGCAGTGGATCCAAGGATCCCAGCAGCTTCCCCTGGGGCCTGCAGCCCCTGAGACTGCCCTGGAGTCGTCCAGCCCTCTGTCAGAGAGCAGTGGTCCACCCCTCCATCCCCCTTTCATCATGACAGCCTGTTCCTTTGGGTGGACACAGCCCCCTTGGCAGCCGGAGTGGAGGGACTGTTGATCATGACGCTGGCTCTTAAGCAATCCAGGCCAGCCGGACTGTCCTGGGATGGATTGTGGCACCGGGCAAGCCTTCATTAACTTCCTCCGCAGGAGGGCGGAGCTGCTCCGGCACCTGCTCTGATTACTGCTCGGTTCCTGGGCTGTTTTCCAGCTCTGCACCCCAGCCTTCCTCTCTGTGAGCCGCTCTGCATTTCATCCTTTGGATGTAGAAAATGGGTCTGTCTGTAGCCTTGATGTATACGTGGATTTTTGTGTCATGTTCTGCTTATTATTTATTTACTTGTTATTTAGATTGGGCTAGATACTTTCTACTATTAACTCATGGATCCTCATGATAATCTACTTCTATCTCCGTTTTACAGGAGGAACCAGAGCATGGGAATCATATGTCTTTTCTCCAGGGACCCACAACCCACAAGCGCAAGCGCTGGGTTTCCCTTCTGCTGGGCTAACATCACAGTTGTTCTCTTACAGATTGGCCTGTGCTGCCCCTCATACCAGCCGGCTACACTCACGACCCAAAAAAAATAGCTAAAAAGAGCCAAGGGCAACTGAGATCTGATGAAAAATGAAAGCTATGATATTGATGATAGCTATATTTTCTGACACCAAACAACATCCACTGTATTTTATTACAAGAAAAGCATTGATTAGCACATTTTATTTGAGAAGGCGCACGCCCCTGCCTCCCCTCAAACGCACACGTTTCAAAGCCAAGAATCATTTGCATCACATTGTCGACCAGGATTATTCTCCTCCCCAGGAGAGGCCTGCCAAGCCTTGTGCTTCTTAGTGGCAGGCAGTGCAAGGGGCAATGGCTTGGGACTGTGGAGGGGACGTCCTGACCCGCTCCAACTCACCGACCCCTGAAAACGGCACAGCTGTGAATCTTTGTAGGTTTGTCCCCCACCATCTGGAGTGCCCGTGACTGAGGAGGCATACAGAATCCTCAACACTCCTTGCTCACAAGGGCCAAGGAACACGTTGTCATCCGTAAATTGGACCCATGTAACGTACTCCGAGTGTCCAGCCAGGCCATATGTGACGGAGTGGGAGAATTCACCTTGCCCTGGAGCAAAGCCATAAACGTGTACTCTTTTCCGGTCCTTATGATTGTGAACTGCCTCTCATCCTACTGCTGGGTGTTCTAAAAGTACATTTTCCATAGTAACAGGTGCACACCACCTACCAGAGGCTATTCTTACCGCTCTGATAAAGCTACACATCTGGTGCAATAACTGTAATAAGTTCTACTTCTTGGTTAAGTTTCTAGCACTCATGTGGTGGCCACGACCCACCCAGCTTTGGCAGGGGCCAGACAGCTGGGTTTCCTGAATTCCATGGCCTCTTCCAAGTCTTTGCAGCTGGCACTAATCTCGGTCATTCCCCAGAGCTAGGACATGGCTTTGGCTGACTACTTTCACCAGGAGAAACTTCATTTCAGAGCCTTTTCCCTGGCTTTTCCCAAGACAGCTGTGGCTACTTCACAGGTTAATGAACCAATTCAAATTAGAGCGAGGCCTGACCTGCTCCGTGCTCAGAAACAGAGGAAGCAGTGGCTGGCTGGCTCTGTGGATCCATGGGCCCTCTGTGAGATGGGCACTTCCTGGCCTCCGTACACTCCGTGCCAGCAGGGGCCACGATGGTGCCTGGGGTCCCCAGGTGTTAGTGGAAGGTCCGACGTGGTGTTCAACAGCCTTGAAAGAGCGGTGAGTCCCCTCTCCCCAGCATGCGATTATTTGCACAAACGACCATGAGTGCCTTGGGTGAGGAACCAAGGGAATCATGTAGGGTCCTCCCTTGTGAGAACCTGCCCTGCTTTCCTTACGTGGACTCGGCCCCGCTGAGAACTGGCTCAGGTTAGGAAACCAAGGGGACCGACCTCAGCCTTCTGCCCATCTATTTTTTATTTCTTTTTGATGATCTATATGAAGCAGTAGCCTTTCTGGCTGTCCATCTGTTGTGCCTGTAGGAACATCATGTCCTGTTATCTCCATACACACCGATGGGTCAGGTCCGCCTGGCTGTATTTCTAACTTTGCTGCCCATTACAGAAATTCCTTTTTCCAGCTCTGACAGCTAAATGCTACCCCTGGCCTCTGTTACTCTAAGTTCCTGTTATTTTCATCTCTACTAAGGAACCCAGTCCTGTAAGACATCTATCTCTCCCATTATTCCAGCCTACAGACGACAGCCACATGAGCCTCTCAAGGGTACTGGTGCTCCCAGCAGTGTGTCCCCTATCACCTTGTTTGGTTCACATCTCTGAGTGCCCCCAGGAACATAGCTCCCTGGTGGACGGATTTCCCAACCCTAGAGCAGAACCGTTGGAGCAGGCAGCCATCCCCGGGGCCCTTCAATCTCTAGCAGCCAATGTGCACTGCAGCTGGGGATGAGAAAGCCTGGCCAGAAAATGAGATTGTGCTGGAATATCAACAGCGCCTACCTTACCGGCCAGCTGGTCTCACCTGTTTTCTGGATAGCAAGAGCTTCCTTGAAACCCTTCTCAAATTCAGCCTTCAGTCAAAGTCCTATTTGGTCAAATCCATTTCACAGGAAGAAAAAAAATGATAAAAGAGAAAAATGATGCCACGCATGGCTAGTGTTATCAGACACCTTGCACTTGAGAAAGATCGGGATTCTTAAACATTCTAAGTTACGCCAGCCAAGTTGAAAAGTTGGCTCAGACCAACTTCCGTATCCCCCAGCACGATTTCTTAGAACTGGACAGAAGTGTGGAAAGAGTTGGGAAATCACATTTGGGAACTAGTACTTACTGGATTTGGCCCATTACTTCAGTGGGTGAAAGGTCATCTCTTCTCTGCAATAATTCCTAGGGCACTGCCTGGGGTAAGCACAGAACCTCTTCCTCCCTGCCACTTCTGTTCCTCTCCGGTGGTCGTGTTAACTCCATGGTCCATTCCAGGTAAAGGAATCTGGAGTTCAGGATTTCTGAAGCCTGGGGCTGGGATGGGATTAGCAGGTAAGTGCCCGTTTCTGGGTCACGTAGCATCCTGGCAGCCTGTACTCGCGGTTTGCTGTAGTTGTGTGCACAGTAATAACACGGAATCGCTGCAAACCAGGAGCTCTGGCAACAGCAATAGACCCTCACATCTCATGTGAAATGTGAGGAGCTCACTTTTCTGCAAAAGAAAGAGGCTAGAACTGCAAAGCAGCTTGGAGAGAAGGAGCTCACACGCACGCCCAGACAGAAGGCCTGACTCGCACACACCGTCTTCTGGAACTTTCCCAGGATATGTGTGGATCTTGGGTCTGGATGTGTATTGGCTGAGTTATTTTTTCTGCAACAAGCTTTGGTGTTACATCAGTGTGATTGAAGTGAGGCTTGGAAGCGCTCCCTTTGTGTGTGTGTGTGGGGGGGGGGTTCACGCCCCTGACCCTGAGCCTGTTGGTGCTGCTCACGTGAGAGGAGAAAGGAGAAGGCTTGGGGTTCACCTCCAACTCAGCAACTGCTCCCCAGGCCACATCCAGCTCTCTGGGAGCTCAGAATCCCAACGACTTCCAAGGACTCCTCCGTCTTGCACAAAGTGCAGCCACCCCGGGTCCTGAGAGGTTGGATATGAGGTGGGCAGAGGACAAGGCCCCTGGAAACAGCCCCCAGTCCTGTGGTGCCACTGCCCTCCTTCCTGATGGGCTGGGCAGGGGGTGGGGGAGAGACACCACCCAGAGTATCTGAAACCCCCACATGGGGTCTTGAGCCAATGGAGCCACTCCCAGACGTGGTAGCAGCCAGCAGGCAGTCCAAGGAAAGCGAGGTCACCAAGCAGGGGCCTTGCTACCCTGTCCTGGGGGCACAAGGGATCCTGCTTGCTAGGTCTAAGTGTCAAAAACTGGGCTTTAACCTCTGAGGACTTCGGGCCCCCATCAGCCCAGTGAGACCACGGTGAGATATGGGAGTCAGGCATCCTTCCCGTCTTTCCCGAAGAAGCACGGGAGGTAAGCCGCTGCATTTCCCGCCCACTACCCGCTTGGACAGGCATGCCCGCTGCAAATCTTTGAGGAAAGGACAACAGCAGTAGAGAAAGGGCCCTGGCTCTGGCCCAGCGTCCCCAAAGAGGTCGTTCTGGTAGCACAAAGGACACTCAGCTCCTCTGCCAGCTCCCTGGGCCGTACAGCTGGATCCTGGGACTGAAGGACCCTGTTCCTCCGCCATGGAGACGCAGGAGGAACCTGCCCGGGAGCACACAGGGCACAGGGGCCTGCAACCTCACCTCTCAGTGCCCCCAGGCGGGTGTGTCAGTCCTCAAGGAAGCTCTGGGACCAGCACTGCAGCAGGGCAGCAGCCTCTACCCGGCACACTCGTCTGCATCTCCCAGGTAGCAGGCAAAGCGAGGACCACATCACCGGCCCCGAGACCCTGCAAGGCCACCGCTGCAGGAATCTAGAACACACGGCCTCTGCGTGAACCTGCGAGGACGCAAGCTTGCTTCTCCCGGGGAGGCTACGGAGAGTTCAGAACAGGACCCGTGACCTGCCTGGGTCAGACCCGGAATGCTCTCCCTGTGAAACCAGAGATTCTCACACACGAGGACTACCAACAAACCAAATGGCGATTTTATACAAACCTTAAGAACTGTATGATCGTACAGGTGAAACGAAGTCTTGAAGTGTGAAATCCTTTTGTCTGTGTGGCAGTGACAAACTTGGCTTGTGGAAAGACGACGTTGAGAATGAAATGTGATGGACTGAGCGCCTGCAGCATCCCTGCATCCCACGTTCTCGGCCATAAACTCCGTGTGAACTGAGAAAAGTCCCGGGGAGGAGTTCCTGGACTGTGGGTTCTGCGCCTGGACAGCCAGGGGCCCTGGCACTGTGCATGCAGTAGAAAGACCATGTACAGATGACCGGGGCGGGGGTGCAGGGAGGACAGAGCCAGTGGGAATATCACCCAGGACTCAGCAAATTAGGCGTTACTGTCAGGTGTGGAAGCGCCATCTCTGGTTGGCCAAGCAGCATTGAAGACTGGAGCTTAATCCTCTTTTTCTGGGTCCATCAAAGAGCTGGTGCCTTGTTCTATGTAAAGGGTGGGAAGGGCTCCCCAGATCCACTGGTGAGTTCTCACCTGTTCCAATATACGGGGCTGGTAGCCAGTTTTAATTTTCTTTGTGGAGGTTGGAATTTCTCAGGATTTGCGTCCGAGAGTTGGGAGGCAACTCCTATTTGTGCCAAAGCAGCAGAATCCATAGAGCAAGTGCAGAGCCCAGTGCATACCACTGTGTGTGGTGTGCACCCACCCGAGCTCCCATGATGGAGAGCTGGGCTGTGACGCAGCCCTGTGTCGGGTGAGGCCAAGTGGGGTGATGACTCAATTGCAGTTCAGAAGTGTGTGGTGCCCGGACATCTGGTGAACTCGGGAGGGCCCAGAGTGGCCTGTCCACAGGCTTGCCGCCCTGCTGTGCTCCTGCGGACGAGGTCTCCTAACTAAACCCACTGTTTAGCCAGGGACCAACGTGCGACTTTGGCTGGTCCTTGAAGAGCAGCTGTCCGTTTCCCACCAGCCAGCTGGAGACTGCGATTGCTCTGACCCAGGGCCAGCGAGCCGTGGCTCTTCTCCTTGGTGCAGAGACCCAGGTGGCATCACCGTTCTCAAGAAAGGGATGACCCCTCTCCCAGGAGAACGAGCACACATCAGAGGCAACAGATGCTTACGATTCTTGCAATTGAGCCTCTGGCTTTGGTTCTTAGTCTACCTTCGCGTTAGGATCATCTAGGGGAGGGTGTAGAAAATACGGCGGTCCCAGCCCCAGGCCAGGGCTAGTCTCACCTGGGGTGCAGGTGTTGGTATTTTTTAAGAATACGTAAATCTGTGCATCAGAAGCATCTGGGGACTTTTAAAGCCGTTGTCTAGGCTGATTAGATTGCTATTTCCTCTTCAGATGGAATAATAGTTCTCGAAGACCATCAAGTGATTCCAGTGTATGGCTGAAGTTCAAGTTCGCCGGAGCAGAGCCTGGTTGTTTGAACACAGGGATATTCTGTGTCAGTGTTGTTATTGGTCTTCGAGTCTCTCCTGAGAAAGATTAACAGGGGGCAGATACCTTTGCTGGAAAATTTCCTATCCACAGACTCTTGGCTGCGGGCCCTGAATTCTGTGTCTGCGGCCATCCCAAACCAGCCACACATACCCCAGGCTCCAGGGCTGCTTGACTGGTGAAGACTCTCTCAGCTGGACAAGGATCAAAGCCAGCATGGATAAGATCTCACTCTTGCTGCAGAATGGCTTTGGAGGTAGCCTCAAACTACCTGACTCTCCCGCCTGTATTGGGTGTCATGAATGGTATGGAGTGGATATGGAGGGAGTGTGTCCTCAAGAGGTTCATATGTTGGAGGCCCGATCCTCCATGTGACAGTGGACAGCTGGCGGGTCCTTTAAGAGGTGAGCCTAGGGGATGGTCCTTAGGTCATTGGGGGTGTTACAGATTGGCTGGGACTTGGCTCCCCTAAACTAATGCTATCTTTAAACCCTGCCTTCTTAATGCTAAGGGTTGATGGACTAAGGGTGCAGACTTGATCTAACTGGAGTGTCTGGGAGGTGAGTCTGCTGGGAGGTGCTTGGGACAGTGGGGGCGTGCCCTCAGGGGGTGTTTCTTATGAGAGGTGTGGTTATTTTGGGCCAAGTTCAGCCTAGTCCCTCCACTCTGCTTGCTGACTCAGCATGTGATGGTCCCTGTGCACCCACTCCACCACTGCCAGCTTCCCCCATATGCCAGAGAGTGGGGCTGCCTGATCCTGAACTGGGACCTCCAAACCGTCAAGCAAAATAAGCTTTCCTTTCCCTTAGAGCTTCTCTCCGGTACTTCAAGTAATGAAACACCTGACCCATACGGGGCCATGCCCTTGGAAGGAGGGATTAAGTAGTTTCCCTGGGACCCCGAGTTAGCTCTCACAAGAGGGTGTCAGAAAACAATAAATTGACCAGCTCTTTGGCTTCCTTTCTGGCAATGTGATTTCTTCTCTGCCACCACTGTGATGTCATTCACCCCAGGCCCTCATCAGAACTCATGCCCGCACCGTGCCCTTGAACCTGCTGAGCTGTGTGCTAAGTTTGTATCCTTTATCAAGTTCCCCAGGCTCAGGTAGTTCGTTACAGTAATAACAAATGGACTAATTCAATGTGTTGGTGTTACTGCATGAGATTCCGTGGGCGCTGCCCCCTGCAGTTGTACAAAAAGTGACCCTAAGGTGTGCAATTCATGCCAAAGCAAGGAATCAAAGTCTGATTTAGCTTGTGCAGAGTGGAAGGACATAGACCATCCGTGACCTTTGGGCAGACCCCAAAGCAGGCAGTCACATGACAAACAGAATGGACGAGGCCTGTGGGGTCAGAATGGCTTGCACATTATCGAGCATAGACCACGTAGTTTACATACAAACTGAGATTTGCTAAGTTCTGATGGCTTCCATCCAAACCAGCTCAGACTGGCCATGGGGGCTCCAGGAAGAGCACAATGCACACTCCATTCCCGGCTCTCAGGCCAAAGTGGGCCTTTGTGAAACACTGCAGGGAGGCCGGCCCTGGGTGCCACAGAATGAGTTGGAGAAACTCTACTTGCCCATGACATCAACGGGCCCTCAGGCCTCTTCCTTCCATCTGGCTGCCCCGTTGTGTCATCCCACCCAGAGAGCTTCGGTGAGAATTGGGCGGAGGACGCACAGCCCCCAGCAGTCACAGCTGCTGGAGTCCCGGAAGCCATGCACATGTCCCAGAGATCGCCAGCTCCCCTGGCAGCTGTCCCAGGGACACAGCCCTGAGGATAAAATGTGTCTGAAGTCCCAGTGCTGCCACTCCTCGCCCTGAATGTCTTCCTCCTCTCCTCTCTACCCAGATCCCAGGGAGATGCCAGGCTGGCTGACTTTTCAGAGCTGACTCAGCAAATGGACTGACACTGACGCTGGATATCCAGTAGCAGGATTGGCAGCCTTCCCTGGGATGCAGGCAGCCTCAGCTTTTATCTCTAGCCTGGAGCAGTCAGAGGCCCTGGACAAGCCTGACTCAAGATCGGTCATCAGTCACCTGATAAGAGGCCCTGTCTCTGCCGCCTTGATGGACCCAGCATCTCCCACCTGCCTTCCTCATTCGTTATTCTCCCACGCTTACAGTGAAATTGAAGTTATCTGTGAGGCCAGACATCCTGTCCCAGTCTTCCCCTGTGTCCACTGATTTATCACACATTGGATAATTATGTGTTGGATGAGTGGAAACATGGCTATTATTCCGTGTAGGGAAAGATTACGGGAGTCTCTTAAGTAAATATTAGCACACAAGCAGGGACTGTTCTGGGTGAGAACATCAGGTTACACAGCTGGCACCAGACGTCTCCGTGGTCCTTGTTGTGAGCCGGGAAGCTGCCATGTGGTGCTGACAGGGAAGTTTCTAGAAGCCACGTGGCTCTGAAAGCATGAGACGCACAGACCCACGGAGATCTGCCGCTTCGGGGAGCTTCTGTTCTGGCCCGTGGGGAGACTGACTGTAAGGGCCACTGCGGCTTGCTGCTGCGCCCGTAAACAAGGGTAGGTTCTGTTGGCTGGAGATTGCCAGCCCATATGGGTAACGGGGACTGAATCACTCTCGACACCTTGGGAAAGAGTCTGGTCTTCAACACACTCCATGAAAAGGTCGAACAATAGGTTCCCTTAGGAAAACCTAGTGGATGAAATGTGCCTTGTGCATGAGAGGTCTAATCATCAGGACCATCTGGTAATTTAACGGCCAGGACCTCAGATTCTCAGGGGAGCGGGCCACCCAGGGGCCAGTGAGGCACTGCCTGTCTGAGAAGTCTGTGAAAGTCTTGGCTGGACATTTCCAGCTGTCCTGTATACAGGTGGCACTCCCCCCCCCCCCACCCCGCCTCCTCTGCCTCAGATTCTCATTCACATTCAATCTTTTAAAAACCAACACCTGTCCTGAATCTACACCTCGCTTAACCTGTTTGTTTGTTGCCTTTCACAGGCCCTCTGGAGGAGCCAAAGGCGGTATCGAAGTAGAAATTTTCCCAAGTCAGCCCCTCTCGTGAGACGCAACACCGTCTTCCTCCCCAGAAGCGCTGTGCTCCTGAGGGGTGACTGTTCCCTCTCTGAAAGAATTCTGGGTGTCTGTGTACACTCTCCTGGATGTGAAGGACCAGAAAGGAATGTGCTTTTTGTTGCCTGTGTCTTGAAATGGTACGATTTCATACACGCCCCAGGATACACTGTCTATTGTCCAGGGTCATCTGAATGACTGTGAGCGAGCTTTTGCTCCTTCAGGTTTCATTACAGTTGGATAGTAGGAAAACTACTTCTCTACATGTGGGTTTGAGTGGAAGATGATCCTTCACCTTGTTATGCATGTGTTTATGTGTTCCATAAGCATTGCTTTTCCAACTTTGGCCCCCTTAAAGCACCTGCATCTATTGCCGAAGCATAGCCCTAAGATCTAATCATCTCCATAGCAAATGGCTGAATGTTCAAGGACCTACGTATAGTGTTGCATGTAAAGTAGCAACCCTGAAGGTGCAAACTGAAAAAAAGTGGGGCACTGGGGAGATGGAGGCTGAATTACAGTTACTGAATTGAAAGGCCATAAGATAAGATGTGGTGCATGGAGAATAAGGCATGTGATGCGGCTTTGCAGAAAGTTATATAATAACCCCCTTTCGCCTGTGATATATTCTGGGAGATGGAGTAGAAACCCTTTCTGAAAGAGGAAAGTTCCAAGTGTATGGTGAACCTGTTTCTATTTTGTGAGTCTGGCCTTTCCAACTTCCTCCCAAATATTTCTACCTGGATGTTCCACTGCCAGCTCAAAACCAAGGTGTCTGAATGAGAAACCATCTTCCTCTTGCTCCTCTTCTAGACTTCAACAACAGTAAAATCGTCTTTAGAACCTCTTTCTTGTCTCTTGTGCTTCTTGCCTATGTCCTGGAGAGTTTCCTTCATGATATCTCACACGTTTATCATTTTTTTCCATTCCCATCAATTCCACTCTAGGCTGACTCCTTATACCAAGACCATCCAATCAACCCACACTCAGTGCATCTCAGCTGGGTGTCAGACCCTTGGCAGCACACTCAGGAAGCCAGGGAAGGGGTGAAGAGGGGCCAGATCAGTGCACATTCAGGAAGGGCTGATACCTGACTGATCACTTAAGTTGAATATAGGTTTGCTGGGCAGAGAGACAGTGAGGTCATTTCAAAGCCCTATGTCAGTCCAAAGTATTGTTTTTAATGTCATTTCCAACCTGCTAAGATTTCACTGATTCCTGTAGACTTTATTCTGCGTTTGACCTTAAACTAGCATTAAATCCCTCCACATACAACCCCAATAGAAGGATCACGTTCCATCAAACACAGACTACCTATGCAAATCCATAGAGCTACTTAGGTGTTGGTGAACCTGGAGAGACATTGGAGCCCCCACACATTACTCATGGGAACCTAAAATAGCTCAGCCACTGTGAGAAATGGTCAAGTGGTTCCTCAACAAGTTAAACATGGAATTCCCATATGACCCAACAATTCCACTCCTGGGTATAGGCCTCAGTCAGAACTCGCACATGTGTTCTAAAGAGCGTTCTTCATAATAGCTCGAGAGTGGAAACAACACAAACTGATCAGTGGGTAAGCACAGCATGACACAGTTACACAAAGGAAGGGTATTTTCTTTGGCAATACAAAGGAAAGAAGAAATAACACGTGCCACTACATGCGTGAACTTTGCAGACATAATACTAATCTAAAGAGGCCAGTCACAAAAAGCTGCACATGAGATGATTTCTTTTTTTATAAAATGCCCAGAAGAGGCAAATGTATAGACATGGGGAGCAGCACTGTGGCACAGTGGATTAGGACGCCCTCGCAATGCCAGCATCCTGCATTAGTTACAGTGTTTGTTGGGGTCCCTGCTGCTCTACTTCCCATCCAGCTCCCTGCTAATGCTCCTGGGAAGGCAGCAGGTGATGGCCCCAGTGCTTGGATCTCTAACACCTGTGTGGGAGACCTGGATGCAGTTCCAGGACTCTGGCTTTGGTCCAGCCCAGCCTTGTCCCTTGCAGCTATTTGGGGAGTGAACCAGCAGATGGAACAACTCTCTCTCTCTCAGCTTTCCAAATAAATAAATCTTTACAAAATATTGTAGATCATGAGTAGTTACGATGGTGGTGGTGTGAGATAGGAATGGGTATTGACTGGTAATGGATATGAGGTTTTCTTTAATGGGGAGAGAAAAATGTTCTAGCAGTAGACTTATGTGATAACTTTAGTCCTGAGAATCTCCCAAAACCGGAAACTCTAGGTGGTGCATTGTATGATAGGTGAATCATACAGAAGTTGTTTCAAAAAATCCCAGAGTGAGCATTTCTGCTGATGGGTGTACAAAGAGCCGTGCTGAGAGGTCTGAGACAAGTCCCATCACACGAGGCAGACGGAGTTTCAGAATTCATGCTCACAAAGTATTTTACAACCATTGTGCAGATTCGTTCTCACAGCTACACCATGAGACATGGTTATCATCCCCTTTCTCAGCTGAGAAATCCCAGGCTCCAAAAGTCCCCATCTCAACCGGGAAGGAAGCAGTCACTCCTGGCATGGCAGTCAGGACGGCTCCCACGCTGCTCCTCCCCACACCAAGCCGCCTACCCTGGCAGTGGTGATGCAGAGGCGATGAGGGAGCTAAAGTAGAGGCTGAGGGCCTCACTCCTTTTGTGGCTGATTCAAAGTGAAAGATAGCTCGTTTCCACCCATGGACTGAAGTTCCGTGGTTCTGTGGCCACCTTCCTGTGGAAGTGAACACCTACCACGTGTGACCTTTTAGTGTGGAAATAGTATCTTAGAGATCCCTTCCCCTCCTCTCAAGCCACGCTAGGACTCCAATTCCTTGAGTGCTGTGAAATTCACACGAGCAATGCCATCATTTCTTACGATTCTTTCACATAATAATTGCAAATCGGACAAGACCATAAAACCCACCTCATCTCAATTTCTCCTTGTGAAAAATTCCCTCGATCTCCCACACACTGCAGAAAATAAAGGATCCTGGAAATCCAGGTTCGCCTCTGTGCTTTCGTGCACCTGTCTGCATTGGGCCTCGCTTTACAATTGCACGTGCCCCCTCCCCTCTATCAAGCTCATTCCCATAAAGACAAAGAGGTACTTAGGAAACTTGCACAAATCTCTAGAGCTGTGAAATCTTTGTTTCAAGTGACTTTTTTTTTAAAGTATTCATTTATTTATTTGAAAGGCAGAGAAGGGGCCAGCGCTGTGGTGCAGTGGGTTAACACCCTGGCCTGAAGTGCTGGCATCCCATATCGCCACTGGTTCGAGACCCAGCTGCTCCACTTCCTGTCCAGCTCTTTGCTGTGGTCTGGGAAAGCCGATGACAGCCCAAGTCCTTGGGCCCTGAACCCACGTGGGAGATGCAGAAGAAGCTCCTGGCTCCTGGCTTCGGATCGGCACAGCTCTGGCTGTTGCAGCCATTTGGGGAGTGAACCAGTGGATGGAAGATCTCTCTCTCTTTCTCTGCCTTTCCTCTCTCTGTGTAACTCTGACTTTCAAATAAATAAATAAATCTTTAAAAAAAAAAAAAGAAAGAAAGGCAGAGAAAGTGAGGGAAGAGACACAGATAGAGTGAAATCCTCACTTGCCAAATGGTTGCAATGACCAGAGCTGCACCAAATCAAATCCAGGTGCTGGAACTCCTTCTTGATCTCCCATGTAGGTGACAGGGGCCCAAGTACTTGATCCACTGCTTTCCTAGGAGTATTAGCAGGGACACGGCTCTGAGGCAGAGCAGCTGGGCCTTGAACTGGCACTCTGATATGGGCTGCCAGAATTTCAAGTGGCGGCTTAACCTGCTGCACCGTGCCACCGGCCCCTTGAGTTGCATTCTTGATATATAACTACAGAATGTGTACCCCAATTTCACCCCTCAAATTGCACACAAAACAGAATGCTTTGGCAGAGAAATTAGGCTTCAGTGAGACCATCGTAACCCCCTTCTGATAAGATTCCTGATCGCTGGCTCTTACATGACAAGGAACATAGAGCCGCTGTCATTGTTCTTAGGGGAGCTCTCAGCCGCACCATTCACGGCGGCCAGGTAGCCAGGGACAAAGTCGTGCATGGTACACATCTCCTGGCCTGGACTAACAGGTGGGCAGAGAGCAGACAGTGACGGGGCAACCTGGTGGAGACGCAGTGTGCTGTGGGATAATCTGGAGAGCTGATCCCACAGACGCAGGCGTGAGAGGTCCTCGGATGAACTCTAGGAGGGTGAGCAGCTAATCCCAACCCATGTGGCAGAGCCACCGCTGGGAACAAGGGGCGGGATCCGTGGGCCTGAGACGCGTTTGGAGAGAGGCAGACAATCGGGACCGGGACGACTGAGAAGGGGGCGGCCTGATTCACCCTATTGCTTTGCAGATGAGAAAACTGAGGCAAAAGAGGTCAAGGCATAGGCCCACGCCCATACAAGAGACAGCCTCAGGACACCGTCTCTGCCCCTCACTCCAGGCCCTCTGCGGTGTGCAACCACTCAGGTGAGACCCCTTAGATAGCATTGGCCTTGAGATTTATCAGTTCAGTGGAGGCAGCCCCTGGACCCGTGGAGGCTGGTATAGATGCATCGCCAAGTTGCTAGTTTCTTGCCTAGGCATGTTTTAGGAAAGAACTAAGTATGATAGATTTTCCAACAGCTGGTTCAGCTACACAAAACAGAGAAGTTTGTTTTTTGTTGGAAGCACAGTGTACAGCACAGGAAATTAGATATTTATGTTCTTGAAGATGTATTTGTTCCTCTTTTCTTCTTTGCCTCTTGACTGGACTCTTTTCCGCGGGGTCTTGTCAGTGACACGTTCGGCATCAGTGTACAAACATCTTCACTCAAGGTGAGAGGGACAGCCTGCGTCTCAGCCTCTTAAGTCACAGAACTGCCACCTCGCTCTGTCTCCACCTCTCCCTGTCCCTCTCAACCTAAAATGCCTCCAGTTAATTGTGTAGTTTTGTCTCAATCTGCTGTGAATACTTTAGTTTCTGTAATAGCAGTAAGCATCACTTGATTGCATATATTTGTTGCAAACATGAAATAAATTAGTAGATGAACAACTAAATTCGGCATATATTAAGCGCTTGATATATTGCTGCTTGAGAGAAGTGAATACTAATCTCAATTAGCTTTAAAAAAAAAAACTAATGTGGGGCTATGAAAATGAAATGTAAGTTGAACCTAAAATTAGTCATCTGATTCTTGGTATCTTAAAAGCAAGGAGTTGGATCATTTTCTTTTTGTATTAGACAGGCTTTGGGAAAGTGACATTTAAGTGGAATTTTTGGAACGCACCAAAATAATGCAATGCAATGATCATCAGTGACTGATTGTATTTTTCTATTTGCTCACAGAGGAAGAAAGGCAGGCCTAAAATCCACTTAACTTAGAATGACAACGTTAGGTAGGTAGTCAGAAATTTAGCCTATGTGTGTGGGGGGGAAGGGCCTGAAGACCAGCACCTACCATGGAAGCTCCAGACCCAGCATTTTCCTGCTCAGACCCTGATAACCTTCCAGGTGGTCCCCGCCCTTCAACCTTCAAAGTCTCCTTAGAGTCCCTCCGTGGTTGCCAGAAACGTCACTGGAGAAAAGGCCGTGGGAGCCGTGGGAGCCGTGGGGTTCTTGTCTTCATACAACAAAGAATGCAGGCATGAGACAGAGAGCAAAGTAGCAAGGTTTTATTGGGGGCAGGACATCCATCAGAATGGAAGGGACAGAGAGAGAGAGCCCCGTCACTCAGATTGTGGGAGAGCGAGGTTATGTGGTTGAATGGAGAGCAGAGAGCTGAGCGTGCAGTCTTTGTTTAGGCTCCTGGTTTTTAAGGGAGTCTCTCTTTATCACTTCCCCCTTCCCCTCCAGGACAAAGCGTTTGCTGAGTGTAAATTAAGAAATTCCTTCCCAAATTTGTTATCAGACAGGGGGAGTCTTGCTGGCTCCGGGCCAAGGGGCTTCCCTCTAGGGTGCCTGCGTTGGAGGAAGGATGTTTATCAGGCCAGGTAACCCACTTGGTGGTGAGGAGGGAGAACTCGGGGAAGGGCTGGGACCACCTGGAAGATGGGCTTCTGTTGATGCTGGCTCTCTCAGGCCCCTGTCTCGCACCCGTAGGCTAATTTGCAGCT